ATCTTAATATTTGAGCAAAATCAGCTGCTTTGTCTTCACTTTAGACATTACGCTAGAGAATCATTCAAACACTAGCTCTACAGTGACGTTGGTGAATGAGCAGCGGTTTCTGCTGTTCTGAGGTCAGCTGCAGATGTGAATGAATGGCGGAAGAAAGTAGTTCCTCTCTTACAAAAGGGTTTTTGAGACTCCGTGATTGATTATCTTTTTTATATACACGATTATGCTGACGAACTGTTGTATAAACACAATATCACAGGAATAGCAGTGCCGTTTGGCTGTATATTATCATTAGTGGTACACTAAGGCACTTGGGAAGCGGCTTCAAGCCAACGCACACCTCCCACCAGTGCCTTAAAGTACCTTAAAGTCTGTAATAAAGTCTCAAATTATTAAATAAAATTAAAATAAATAATAAAAAGCATGTCTGTTTCCTTTAAAATTGTGTTTTCCATTGTGTGCTTTGCCTGCTGTTTCTATGAAACTAACATTTACTGCCAATACCAGTAATACCTGAGTGGAAAATCTTCTGCCCCACTTTTTTTTGTGCTTATTTACAGTCAGCCTGATCGGGCTTGGTCCTGTTCTCCTTCAGGTCCTCCTTGCTCTTCTGAATGAAGGTGAAAATCTCCTGAAACAGGGCTTTGTACTCGGGCTGCTGGTTGTGTGTGGAGTGTGTGTGTGTTGGAACAGTGTTCTGGTTGTGTGTCGGCGTGTCGCTCTGGCAGCGGCGCAGCAGCGCATCGTACTTCTCCTGCAGGGCGACGTACTGCGCATCCACCTCACTCAGCAGAGACGCGCCCTGATGCTGCAGGCCACGCCCCCTGTGTTTGACCACACCCACTCCATCATCCAGCAGAGGCATTCCATTATGCAAGCCCCGCCCACTCGGGCTGACTACACGCACTTCATCATCTTGAATAGATGCTGCCTGATGCTGCAGGCTCCGCCCACTATGGCCTACCACATCCCATTCATCCAGATACACACCCTGATAAAGACCACCTCCACTCTGGGTGACCACGCCCACTCCATCATTCAACAGAGATCCGCCTTGATGCTGCAGGTTCCGCCCACTCTGACCCACCACATCCACTTCTTCATCCAATAAACACCAACTCTGTTGCAGGTTCTGACCCATCACGCCTACTTCATCAGCCAATAGAGACAAGGCCTGATGCTTTAGACTCCGCCCCTTCTGTTGGACCACACCCACTTCATAATCCAACATAGACATGTCTTTGTGCAGTCTCCGCCCCTTCTGCTTAACCACACCCACTTCATCATCCGGCATTGGCAGGCTCCACCCCCTCTGTCCGACCACACCCACTTCATCATCAATCTGCGCAAGCACACCCACTTCATCATCTAGTATTGGTAGTCTCCGCCCCCTCAGTTCGACCACACCCACTTCATTATCCAGCAGAGACATGTCCTGATGCAGACTCCACCCCTTCTGCCAGGCCCCGCCCTCCTCCAGTGAGGGTGTGTGTGTGCTGGAGTGCAGCCGCAGCTCCTGGGCTTCAGCCTGCACTTCCTGCAGCCGTTCCTCGTATTCCTCCACCAATGCGGCTCTGGGCTCCAGTAGGCGGATCTGCAGCATCAGGTCCTCCACCTGCAGCTCTGCAGACTCTCTGAGAGCGCATTCAGACCTCAGCTGAGCCTGGAGGGAGTGCAAAGAGCGCTGAAGCTCCTCCCTCTGCTCCTGCGGCTCAGAGCACCGCCGGCTGCAGACCCAGGACTCCTGAGAGACGCAGCTCCTGAAATAACCAATTGACCAAGAAGAAGTGCACAGTGAGAAATACACAGTCGTGGGTTTAAGGAAATTAATGTAAAGTTGCAATTATTAGATATGCAATGGCAATTACAAGCAATAAAGCAGTAATTATTAGCTATGACGTAGCAGTTGTTAGAATATAGATACAATTAAAAGTCAGTTCTTAGATATAAACTTGTAATTAACAAATATCCAGCAGAGGTAGGCTCCACCCCTTCCGCCCAACCACACCCACTTAAGATATAAAGTTGCAAATACAAACAAAAGTTGAGATTGCTACATATAAAGTTGCAATTACAAACCTTTATATTTGTTATTTATACATATTAAATTGCAATTACAAACAATTGAGTTGCGATTGTCGGATGTAAAAGTGCAAAAAAAAAAAAAACGATTGCATCGTTAAATAGAAAGTTCAAATTCAATCGCTAAATACAAAGTAGTAATTAAACAATAGTTGCAATTACGAACAAAATTGTTAAATTTGCTACATACGGTATAAAGTTGCAATAACAAAGCATATAGTTGCAATTTTAAGATATTAAGTTGCAATGGTCGGATATTAAAGTGTAAAAACAAAACATTAGCTCTCAATTGTTAGATATGAAATTGCAATTAAAGATCGCATTTACAATTGTTATACGTAATTGTTAGAAATAAATTTGAAATTACAAACCATATTGTTAAAATTTTTAGAATTTAAGTTGTGATTACAAACAAATAAGTTGCAATTGTCAAATATAAACGTGCAAATATAAACGATTGTGTCGCTGAATAGAAAGTTGTAATAAACATTAAGCTGCAATCGCTAGATACAAAGTTGTAATTAAAGAATAGTTGCAATTACGAACAAAATTTTTTAATTGCTACATACGGTATAAAGTTGCGATTATAAAGCATATAGTTGCAATTTTACGATATTAAGTTGCAATGGTCGGAAATTAAAGCGCGAGAACAAACCATTAGAACTCAATTGTTAGATGTAAAGTTGCAATTAAAGATCGCAGTTACAATCGTTAGACGGAATGTGACATTTAAACAATAAAGTAGCAATAGTTCGATATATAGTTGCGATTAAATAAGTCACAATTGTGAGATATAAAGTCGCAAATACAAACAATAAAGTTTTAATTTTTAGAAATGAAGTTGAAATCACAAACCATATTGTTAAATGTGTTAGAGTTTAAGTTGCGATTACAAGCAATTAAGTTGTAATTGTTGGATATAAATGTGCAAATATATAAATGATTATGTCCTTAATATAAAATTGTAATAAATAATGGGCTTCAACTGCTAGATACAAAGTTGTAATTAAATAATGATTGCAATTACGAACAAAACTGTTAAACTTGCTACATACGGTATAAAGTTGCGATTTCAAAGCATATAGTTCAAATTTTAATATATTAAGTTGCAATTGTCGGATATTAAAGTGCATAACAAACTATTAGATCTCCATTGTTAGATATCAAGTAGAAATTAAAGATCGCAGTTACAATTGTTAGACGTAATGTGACATATAAACAATAAAGTAGCAATACTTCGATATATAGTTGCAATTAAACGATATTTAAAAACGTAACATTACAAACCACAATTGGTAGATTTTAAGTTGCGATTATAAACAATGAAGTTGCAATCATTAGATACAAAGTAGCAATTAAAGAAAACAGCTACAACTGTTTAATACATAGCTGCGATTACGAACAGATGTTGATATAAAGTTATGAGAACGTCACAGTTGTGAGAAATAATAAAGGGTTTTAGAAAAGCACAATATAAATATAAAACTAATACCTCATACATTCATTTTCCTTCGACTTAGTATCAATTGTAGAGGCCACCACAGCGGAATGAACCGCCAACTATTACAGCACATGTTTTACACAGTAGACTGCAACCCAGTGGGAAACACCCAAACACACTCATTCACACACACACTCAAACACTACGACCAATTTAGTTGATCAATTCCCCTATAGCGCATGTGTTTGAACTGTGGGGGAAACCGGAGCACCCAGAGGAAACCCACGCCAACACGGGGAGAACATGCAAACTCCACACAGAAACACCAACTGACCCAGCCTTGACTCAAAGCACCGACCTTCTGGCTGTCAGTGATATCCACTGAGCCACTCGTGCCGCCCTAAAACTACTAGCTATTATCTGAAATCAGTCATCCATCATGATTGTAGATTTCTGCGGTCATGTAATCCAGTGTTTACTCCAGCAGATTGAGTTCTTCCTAATCCGAGCCCCAGAATGAAAAAAAAGCTGATTTGTTTCTTGGCTAATCCACTTGACTGAGACTCTATAAAACAGTATGTACTTGACCTGCTGCAGGTCTAAACACAGAGAGGTTTAAACACACACACCTGCGTGAAGCACATTTCCCCCTCTGATCATCTCTGAGGGATCTGCAGAGTTTGTGTTCTTCAGCAATCTGCTTCATCTTCTGCAGGTCAGTCTGGAGCTCCTCCACGTGCGTCTGCAGACCGTCCACTGTTTCTGTGAGTCTGAAAACACCACATGCTGCGTCACAAATCACTATCTATCCCACATAGTGCTTCAATACCAGCAATGCAAGGAACAGGCTTGTTGAGTTACCTCAGAAGAACGGACTCTGAGCAACACAGCACTTTTGAGTGTATAATAGTAGAGCGTGCAAGCTTTCAGACTCAATAAATCTTCATTAATGAACTGTTCTGTTGCTCAGTATTCCAAAATAAACTCATTCAATCATGTTCTCTTCGGCTGCGGTCACACTAGAGTTTGAGCTTGCCAAATTGTGTCGTGCGGTGCAGCGAAAAGATTATTAGACATTTTATGAAGCGAGCGATTGCTTTATGTTTTAAACAGATAAACTCTGCTGCTATTTTAGGATTTCCGCCTGGATTTTGCCTTCCCACAAAGCTTCCCAAATCCACATGCAGAGGTGTAAATGCAAAAATGTGGTGTCATTTTAAAGAAAACCCTTTGAATTCTCATACAACACTATTGAAAGTGTTTTAAATATCTGGATATGTCGTCTGTGCTATAATAAACACCTAAAAAAAGAGGCGCTTTTTGTATTTTTTTTTTTTTTATAAACTTAAATGTGAAAGTGTCTCTTTTAGGTTGTCCATAATCTATGCAGAAGTTATTGTATTCCAACTGATGAGAGGTGCTGTACAAGCCACAGGAGCGATCATTGTGTTCATATTTCACTATTCTTCTGTTTAAT